GTTTGCCAAGAGCCCTGGCCGCTTCTGCTCGGGCGAGGGCAGCAGGCCGCGATCTCCCCGATGCCGGGGAGATCACGGCCCGCGGATCGCGCTGGGGAGACCTCCCCGATGTCGGGGGGGGCCCCCTGGCGCAAAAAAAAAAACACGTGCATGCTTGGGTTCTTTGTCATGCGCCGGGGGAGCATTGCGCTGCGTCTGGCGCTGTGTCCAGCCGCGGGCCGGGACAGGAGAGACGCCGGCGAGGGGGGTTGCGTCGGCCGTGCTCGCGGACCCCGACGCAAGCATCATATTTGCTCTCGTGTCTGGTTTGTTCGAACACACCCGAGACGTCGCCTCCGCCCCCCCCGCAGCCGACGACGCGGATGGCCCCGACGGGATCGTTTTTCGTTCCCCCCCCGGGCGCTTTGCTGCCGATGGCCCCCCGTGCCCGCCCGGAGGCCCTGGCGCGTTGCGGGGCGCGGCTTGCCTGGGCGGCTCCTGCCTGGAATCTCCGGTTTGGGAGGCATGCCGCGATGGTCGGGGCGTGGCCCGTCTCGGCCCGGGTGGCGACCTTCTCGCGATGGTCAGCATCGTTTAACCGATCCCCATACCCATCCATCCCCTTCGAGACCCCCACCAAATTACCACCTCACATGTTGGGGATGCACCCCTCGAAACCCGAAGAGAACGACTTAAATCCCCATCTAGGGGGGTAAATCGGCCAGCGGGGCCCGGGCCGCGCAGCTGGAGGTTGGATGGGGATCGGTGAATGGATGCTCATGTGGCGCGCGGCCCTGTCTGGAACAGCTGCCATTGGTCCTCGCAGGGCGCCTTTTTTCAGGGTCGGGCGATCACCCGGGTTATCGGGCTTGTTCCCTCCCCCAGGATAACCTATATAACCTTGCCGGTTGCGCAGGTCCGCGGGGGGGGGGGGGGCGCGGGCACATGCGCAGGGCTGCCCGCAGCGCGAGGGTCAGGTCACCGCCCGGCCCCCCCCCCCAGGGCAACCGGGGTCGTCGCCGATTCCAGGAGAAACTGTCCCCAGGCAGGCGAATGTTCTGCCCGCGCCGTCCGCGGCGCTCTGCCTTCTCCGCCCGGTGAGATTTCTGCGGCGGCCGCGCAGACGCCGCGGGCGCGCCTGCCCCGTGCTCGCTCGCGCCCGCCCGTCGCCCGGCAGTCCGCGCGCGGGGGTGGCGACGCGGGGGCGGCCTTCGGGTGGGATTCCCAAACTTGCGGCCTCTCGGGGGCCTTCCGAGGGGGCTTCTTGCGGGCCTCCTGCGACGACGCGAAGGGCCCCCATGATCTGCTGCCGAAGATGTCGGCGCGCGTCGGGCGGTCGGCGCGCCCGCGCTCGTCGGCCAGGGCGCGGATGGCGTGCTCGGGCCAGCCCGGGGCTGACAGAAGCCAGCCCCATGCTGAGTCGCGAGAAGGTCAGAGCACATCAGGGGCTAGATGACCCAGGTCTTTCTCCTGACGTCGGAGAAGAGAAGACGCCATAACTAGAAACTTGTGGCGATCCGCGCGGATGTCTTGGATCTGCGCCGGCCCCCCCCCCCGGCGGCGCCTCCGGCGCCGCCCCTGGCGCGCTCCGCGCGCCAGGGGGGGCGGCCCAGCGCGGATCCAAGAAATCCGCGCGGGGCGCCAAAAGCTCGTGTTCATGGCTTTTTTCTTCTTCTATGATGAGCTCCTGTTGGGGTCGGCAGCGATCGTGCCGGTCGCGCCGCCTAGCTGGTGGCCGCGGCGCGCCCGCCCGTTGCCGCTTCGACCTCGGCCGGCATCGATGATGGCACCTTGCTCGGCAATAGACCAGCGAGCTTGCAGCCGAGTTGCCCCCCATGTTGTCCAGGACTTCCGAGGCGGAGATTTCTCCATATCCACCGCCTGGGGGGTCGATCCTCGCGGGCCTCCGCAGGCGGCGGATGCGGATATCTTCGGGCCCTCGGGGGCCAAAATATATCCATATCCGCCGCCCGCGGGGGCGCCGGGGCGCCGCCTCCCAGTCGGTAGATATGGACGAGTTCCCGCCTCGCAGGACCGACCCCGCGGCGGTGCCCGGGCCCGGCCCGCGGGGGCCGGCGCGGGCGGGGGCCGCCGGGCGCCCCGCGCGCAGACGCGGCTGGGCCCTCCTGTCGGCTCGCAGTGTTTCTTGGCAGCGCTCGACCTGTCTCCGCACGAAGCGGAATGCCAATCACGTTTGCCCGCCCCCCCCCCCCACAGCTTGCAGTTGGGCGCAATCGGCCCCTATGTTAAAGAGATCAAAGTAATCGCGGAAGCAGTTCGAGGCCAACGCTGTTGCAACATTCAAGTTTCAAGTGTCGAGGATCCCGAAGTTCTGAAACAGTTCGAAGAAAGTCCGGCGGCGAAGAAATTCCACATAATTATCCGACGGGGCGCGTTCTGTGGTCGCTTCGCGGGGGGGGGTTCGACCCCCGCAGCCTTGGCGGCGGGGCGGCGGCTGGCGGCGGCGCGGCGGCGGCTGGCGGTGGCGGCGGGGACGACGATTTCCTTTTCTGGGCCGGCCCCGGCGCCTGCGGCGGCGGGCGGCGGCGGCGTGGAGCGTCGACGAGGACGGTGGTGGTGGTGGTGGTGGTGGGTTGTGGTGGTGGTGGCGGTGGTGGCGGTTGTGGTGGTGGTGTCGTGGTTTGTTGTGGTGGTGGTGGTTGTGGTGGTGGTGGTAGTGGTGGTTGTGGTGGTGGTGGTGGTTTGCTGGTGGTGTGGTGGTTGTTTGTGGTGGTGGTGGTGGCGGTGGTGGGTTGTGGTGCTGGTGGTGGTGGTGGTTTGGTGGTGGTGTGGTGGTGGTTTGTGGTCATAGTGGTGGTGGTGGTGGTGGTGCGTTGTGGTGGTGGCGGTGGTTTGTGGAAGTGGTGCTGGTGGTGGTTGTGGCGGTGGTGGTGGTGGTGGCGTGGTAGATTGTGGTGGTGGTGGTGGTAGTTGTGGTGGGTTTTTGTGGCGGTGGTGGTGGTGATGGTGAGTTGTGGTTGTGGTGGTTGTGGTGGTGGTGGTGGCTGTGGTGGTTGTCTGGTGGGTTGGTGGTGGTGGTGGTGGGTTGAGGCGGTGGTGGTGGTGGTAGTGGTGGTGGTGGTACTATGTGGTACTGGTGGTTATCGTCCCCACGTCCCCGCCGTCGTTGGCGCCAGCGCCGGGGCTGCTGGCCGCCGCCAGCGCCGGCGCCGGCGCCTGCGGAAGGGGGGGGGGCGTTGAAAGCCCCCCCTCTCCTCTTCGGCGCAAGGGGGGAGGGTTTGAACACCCCCCCCCCCTTTGGGCTGCCTCTGGTCATCGTCGCTGCGTCCCCGCCGTCGGCGTTGCTGGCGGCCGCCGGAGCCAGCTCCGAGGGGGGGGGTTCAAACCCTCCCCCCTTGGGAGGAGGGAGGGAGGGGAGGGGGGTTCGGGAGGTGGGGGGTGTGGGGGGAGGGGAGTCCCCCTGGTTTTGATCGACGGTGCCGGGTGTTGGGGGGTCGAAACGCGCCGCCGAATTTTCCCAAGGCGAGCGCCCGTGAAACGCGTTCTCTCAATATCCAAAGCGCGTGCGAACTGTTTGTGAACCCCCGAATTGGTTATGACGTTGGTCCGAATTCGGGCGATTTGTTACAACATTTTCCGGATGTTGGAATTAAGTTCGAACGTGTTTCAAATTTTTTTAGTTTTCCAGAGTCTTTCAAACAAATGTGAATATGTTTCGATTTCCCCCTGCAGTGTCGACCTTGCTTCGAACTCTTGCTTTCCTGGGTTTCCAAGCTCGAGGTTCTAACCCTTTCCCCGCCCGAGCCCAAACCCTAGTTTTGTTCCCAGGAAAGCCCATATCTCCCCTCGTCAACCAAGTACAACCCCAGGCCACTGGTCAGAGTCCCCTCGGATCAGAGGATTCGGGAATGGAGTCACACATGTATAATTCTGCATCGCGCGATGGATTATATTGTGGCCGTTTGTCTAGAATGCAGAGGTCACGCGACTGGTGCTCGTTTGGCCAAACTCGGCGAGAGTTGTATGGGGCGTAAGAAAGACCTCAAGACAGGCGCAGACAATTACAACCAGGATTATTGGAAGAAGATTTGCCAGGGCCTCCATCCTAAAGAGAAGGGGATGACCTTGCTTTCTGACACTTTCAGCGTGGTTTGGTCATGCAGCGGGGCCGTAGTACCCTTGGCAGAGTCGATTGCCGATCTGGTTCCAGGGGCGGCGGTCTCTGATAGATTGTCCGTCGACGATGTGCCTCCTCTCGTTCCTACGCACTTGCCCCAGCGGGGGAGGAGGAGGAGGAGGAGGAGGAGGAGGAGGAGGAGGAGGAGGAGGAGGAGGAGGAGGAGGAGGAGGAGGAGGGGGAGGAGGGAGGAGGAGGAGGAGGAGGAGGAGGAGGAGGAGGAGAGGAGGAGGAGGAGGAGGAGGAGGAGAGGAGGAGGAGAGGAGGAGGAGGGGAGAAGGAGGAGGAGGAGAGGAGGAGGAGGAGGAGGGAGGAGGAGGAGGGGAGGAGGAGGAGGAAGGAGGAGGAGGAGGAGGAGGAGGAGGAGGAGGAGGAGGAGGAGGAGGCACCGCGTCGACGGACGATATATCAGAGACCGCCTCCCCTAGAACCAGATCGGCAACCGACCCTGCCAATGGTCGAGAGGAGGAGGAGGAGGAGGAAGAGAAGGAGGAGGAAGAGGAGGAGGAGGAAGAGGAGGAAAAGGATCAGGGGGAGAGGCGTGGAGGAGGCGGAGCGCAAGCAGGACGAATTCCGTGACAGAGGTTATCACAGTCGTTCGTCCGTGTTTTTTTCTCCGACCGAAGGCCACAGTGGATTCCGGAGGCCACAGATGGAGGCAAGCCAGGTCAGGCCCGGAGGAGGCTCCTCTCTTAGGCAAGCAGAGGCTGATGGTGTCAATTACTACGGCATCAGAGCGCACATGCAATAGCTGGAACCACCGGTCCGATTCTTCGCCCTCCCCCTCCCATCACTTCCTTTGTGGGAGGCTAGGAAGGGCGGAGAGCGGAGCCAGGAAGGGCGGAGGGCAGTCGAGCCGGCGGGCGCAACGAGTCCTCCCCACGGCCACATATGCATTGATCATGACGTCCCCGCGCGCCTCGCTCCGCCTCGGGGAAGCACTGGGCCTGGATCCGGTCTGCCGTCTCACGTAGGTGCAGATACTGTGAGAGAGGTGCACTTGCTGTGGCAGCGCCGTGGTCCTTGCAGCCGCCGCTCATCGCTGCGGCTTTTCTGCCGAATTCGAGCTTGCATGCGCCATCGCTCGTTGTCATCGTCATCATCAGCATCATCATCAACAACAGCATCATCATCAGCATCATCATCGTCATCATCATCACCACCATCACCACCATCACCATCACCATCTAGATCACCAGCACCAGCACCAGCACCAGCACCATCACCATCACCATCACCATCACCACCCCAGTCATCTGGCCGCTCCAATTTTGTTCGATGCGTGGGCCCCGAAGGTCTGGACCGCTGCCCCAGGGCCGGCTTTTCGCCCCGAGCCGGCTTTTGACGGCCCCGAGGCCCTGCGAGGGCCCCCGGAGGCCGAAGACGGCCCCAAACCCGCCGCTTCAGTGCTTGTTGGAGCGTCGGCTCTCAGGGACCCTCCCCCCCGTGCAGAGCCGCGCGCATGCCGCTGCTATTCGTCACCACCCACCAAACCACCCCGACCCAACCCGAAGGCTCAGATTTACCCTCGATTTCCAGTGGGGGGGGGGTCGGGAAACGTCGAAAAAACACGTGTGGAACCCTTACCCCCCCCAACCCGAAATTCGGGTCTTCGGGTTGGGTTGGGGTGGTCTGGCAGGTAGGCTATTCGCTCGGCGGCGCCTCGCCGTGGGGCCACCCCTCGGCGGCGCTCCCCCGGTGCCCCGCCCCTGGTGTGCCGGGGGCGGCGGCCGCACGCTGTGCACAGAGGCGGCCTCCGCTCTGGGATCCTGCGGCCGTCGTGGCCCGTCCTCGGCCGCGCGCAGGCCCCAGAGATCCAACGTATTGAAAAAATCAAGACGGAGGTTTTTCGCTATTTTCGGCCTCAAGGGGCCCTCGCTGGGCCCCGGGACCGCCAAAAAACGATTCAGGATGAAAAACCGGTCCTGGAGGATGGGTCGAGACCTCTGGGGACCCCGTATTGAAAAAATCACGACGTCGGATCTCTGGGGCGGGGGGGGTACAGTCGGGGCCCTGAAAAAAGAGCCATTCTCGTTGGGGAGGGGCTCGGTGTTCCTTGATTGTTCTGCAGTTTGCCTTCAGTTTTCCCGAGGTCTTCCATGGGAAATCGAAGTTCAACGTGTGGGAGGAAGGGGCCCCGTTCCTTATTTAGGGTTCCTTAGGTCAACGCCCCGACTGTACGCAGGGGGGGGGAGGGCTCCGTGGAGGCAGCCCTGTTTCTCAGAAGGCGCGGGCCTCGTCTGCAGATGCGAGGCCGGCGCCTTCTAAGAAGCGGCCTCCTTCTAAGAAGAAGCCCTCCCCCGCCTTCCACCCCCTTTAAGGCGCGCCGCCAGCATCCTCGGCCGCGCGCAGACGGGGGCACGCAGGGGTGTGTGGAAGCAGCCCTGCTTCTCAGAAGGCGCGGGCCTCGTCTACAGATGCGAGGCCGGCGCCTTCTAAGAAGCGGCCTCCTTCTAAGAAGAAGCCCTCCCCCGCCTTCCACCCCCTTGACGGCGCGCCGCCAACAGCCTCGGCCGCGCGCAGACGGGGGCACGCAGGGGGAGGGGGGAGGGCTCCTTGGAAGCACCCCTGCTTCCCGGCAGGCGAAGGCCCTGTCTGCAGATGCGGGGCCGGCGCCTTCTACGAAGCAGCCTGCTGCAGCCTCCTCCTCCTCCTCCTCCTCCTCCTCCTCCTCCTCCTCCTCCTCCTCCTCCTCCTCCTCCTCCTCCTCCTCCTCCTCCTCCTCTCGGGGGCCCTCAAAGCCGCCAGATCTCAGAGATTCTCATCCGGATTGGTCGTCGTCCTCAGCGCCGCCGGATCCCAGAGGTTCTCGCCGGATCCTCGCCAGAACATGTCCTCGTCTTCAGGGCCGCCGGATCTCAGAGATTCTTGATTGATCCTCCCTCGAACTTGTCCTCGTCAACAGAGCCGCCAGATCTCAGAGGTTCTCGTTTGATCCTCGCCCGAATTGGTCCTCGTCCTGGCTTCGTCTTGCCCACCCCCCGACGCGCGGCGCCAGCATCTTGCGGTGGGGCTTTGGGGCCCAGGGCAGCAGGCGGCCCGTGTGATCGCGGTAGGGGCTCGGGGCAGCAAGCGTTGTCCACGCTGCGGGGTCGTCGTCGTCGTCGGCGTCGGCGTCGGCGTCGGCGTCGGCGTCGTCGTCGGCGCCGGCGTCACCCTCGTGGGCGTCGTCGGCGTCGTTGCCGTCCCCGCCGCCGCTCTCGACGAGCAGAGGTGCCAGTACCGCTGCTCGTGGCGGATATCTCTCGTCGCCGCGGCGGGGTTCGCCCTGGGCCCGAGATTCTGGTCAGAGCGCACCCTCGCGGGGGTTTGGGGAGTACAGTCAAGACGCGGCAAGACGGACCGCTTTGGTTTCGGAGGGGGCCGGCTGCTCCGTCGGTGAATGTTCCCACTTGTTCCTCAAGCCCCCCTCGTGCACCCTGGCGCCTTGGGCGCCGAAAAGGGGCTTCGTGGCTCCTATTTTGTGTGCCTTCTGGCAGCAGCTTGACCGTAGCGGCATCGGCGATACCTTGATTGCCCCCCCCCCCCCCCGTGGGACTCCTGCTGGACGCGCGCTCGGACCAATCCGTGCGGGTCGGTGGGCCGTGGCAGCATGTCGCGTCGGCCCATGGCCCGAGGCGTCTCGAGCGCAATCAGGGGTGCCAAGGCGCGTGCTAGCCCGCCCCACTATAGGTCGCCCTTCCCCTCGTCGTCCCCCGTCGGCCTCGTGTCCCCACATCGAAAGTGGGGCGATTGTTTTCTCTGCACACCCCCGCGCAGGACCTGCACGCCTCACCGCCCCTCCACCCCACTCGCTCACTCACATACAGTCACACAGTCATCGTCAGTACCAGAATCGTCGTCATCATTCACTGACACACTCAACCACTCACTCACACATCATCATCATCATCATCATCATCAATCATCATCATCATCATCATCATCATCATCATCATCATCATCATCATCATCATCATCATCATCATCATCATCATCATCAGCATCAGCATCAGCATCAGCATCATCATCATCATCATCATCATCATCATCATCATCATCGTCATCATCAACATCATCATCATCATCATCATCATCGTCATCGTCATCAGCATCAGCATCAGCATCAGCATCATCATCATCACCATCATTAGCATCAGCATCAGCATCAGCATCATCATCGTCATCATCATAATCATGTGTTCACGCACTCGCTCACTCTCAGCACCATCATCACCACCACCATCATCATCATCATCATCATCATCACCATCATCATCTTCATCACTCACACATTCGCACATTCGCGCACACACACACTCGTAAATATCATGATGGTGACAATGATCATCATCAGCATCACCCTCTCCCACACCAACCCCCTCACGAGTATATGAGGGAGTGGGCTTCGTCAAACTTAGGCATGGAGGAAGTCTCAGGCGAGAGACTCGTCTGTGAGTGAATTGCGAGGAAGCCTCAGGCGGGAGCCCCTCCCTATGAAGCCCGCAGCTCATGTTTTTCGCCCAGCGGGTCATCGGATTCTTGTAACTGTCGTCGCTTGTGGGCTCCTGCGGCTTGAAAGTGGAGGAAGTCTCAGGGTGGAGCCTCGTCTGTGAGAGAATTGTGAGGAAGTTTCAGGCGGGAGCCCCCTGCCCATGGGTCCCGATCAGTCCTGGCAGTTTCTGCTGGACTGGGGTGACCGTCGCGTTCAATATTTCGTTGTCAATTTCTGTTGGCGGGCGCCGTTCAACCCTTCAGGGTTGCCCAGCGCTGTCAAGTTTTGCGCGGTCGTTGCACGACGACGGCGGTTGCGCGCACGGAGCGTGTTTGAAATCAGTCATGTTCGCGCTCGTTGGACTTTAAGCAGAGAGGATCTGAGCGCGAAGCTTCAGTTTCCAAACCACCATGGTGATTGTTTTTGAACAAAGTATCCCTGCATCGCAACAGTATGTCTATGTTCTTCGGATGATATCTTTATTCGCTTACGTTTTGTCAAATTGCACTTTTCGGTTTGTTTACTGTCTTGAGCTTTTTGTCGAAATAGACCGTGCGGACAGTCTATAGAGTTTCGGCCGTTACCAACATTTCGTAGGCGGGGGGTATCGGTTTAATCGAGATGTCGTTATTTGAAAGAGCGTGTTCTACCGCTGCTGGCGGAAAACCGGGGGGGGTCACTACCGGTTCGAACCCCTCCCCCCCCCCTCCGGAAAACCGGGGGGGGTCACTACCGGTTCGAACCCCTCCCCCCCCCCCCCCCAGCTCATCATGAAAAGGGGGGGGGGTCACTACCGGTTCGAACCCCTTCCCACCCCCCCCCCTCGAAAACCGGGGGGGGTCACTACGGGTTCGAACCCCCCCCCCCCCCCCCTCGAAAACCGAGTGGGGGTGCGGACAGTGGTGGGGACGGTGTTGGTGGGGACAGTGGTGAGGGGATAGCGGGACAGTGGTGGGGACAGTGGGACAGTGGGACAGTGGTGGGGACGGTAGTGGTGGGGACAGTGGTGGGGACAATGGTGGGAACAGGGGGGGACAGTGGACAGTGGTGGTGACGGTGGTGGTGGGGACAGTGGTGTGGGGACAATGGGAATGAGGTGGAAACAGTGGGACAGTGGAGGGTACAATGGTGGTGGGGACAGTGGTGAAGGCGGTGGCGAGGACGGCGGTGGGACAATGGGACAGAGGTACAGTGGGGACAGTGGTGGGGACAGTGGGGACAGTGGTGGGAACAGTGGGACAGCTCAGTGGGACAGCGGAGGAGTCAGTGGGACAGCGGGGATAGTCGGGCAGTGGTTGGGGCCGTGGAGACAGTGGGGAGAGTGGAACCGTGGTGGGAACAGTTCTGGGGACAGCGGGGACAGTGCGACAGTGGTGGGGCCACTGGTGGGGACAGTAGGGGCGGTGGTGGAACCAGTGGGGACAGCGGTGGTGAGGACAGTGGTGCTGGGAACACCAGTGGGGGATGTGATGCGGACGGTGGTGGGACCGGGAGTCGTTTGCTGGCGGTGAGTAGGGGGGGGGTTCGAACCGGTAGTGACTCCCCTCCGGTTTTCCGGATCCGAAGGGTAAGGGGGGGGGGGGAGGGGTTCGAACCGGTAGTGACCCCCCCCGGTTTTCCGGATCCGGAGGGGGGGGTTCGGGGGGGGAGGGGTTCGAACCGGTAGTGACCCCCCCCGGTTTTCGAGCGGGAGGGGGGGGGGGGAGGGGTTAGGGAGGGGGGGTTTTTGCCGGGGAGGGGGGGGGGGGGAGGGGTTCCAGCAGGGGGGGGGGATTTTCGAGGGGGGGGGGGGGCAACCCCCGGGTTCCGGAGGAAAAGGTTGGCAACTTTCCACAGTAAAGCGGCGGTGGATCACGCTCTCTCCGTTATTTTCACGGGGTGGTTACCCTTGAAGATTCGGGTTATGTAGTTGTTGTTTTTTCTGCTCGATCGGTTCCACAAGAATGTGCCGGGAGTGATGGGTCCCGCACCTCACATTTGTAATCCAAGCGGGTCATCGGAATCGTATAACCGTCGCTACTTTTGGGTTCCTGCTGCTTGAGTATGGAGGAAGTCTCAGGCGGGAGTCTCGTCTGCGAGTGAATTGCGAGGAAGCCTCGGGCGGGAGCCCCTCCTTATGAAGCCCGCAGCTCATGTTTTTCTTCCGAGCGGGTCATCGGATTCTTGTAACTGTCGTCGCTTGTGGGCTCCTGCGTTTTGGAAATAGAGGAAGTCTCAGGCGGGACCCTCGTCTGTGAGTGAATTGCGAGGAAGTTTCAGGCAGGAGCCCCTTGCCTATGGTTCCCACATTCCACGCTTTTTATCTGAGCGGGCCACTGGGATCTTCAAAGTGGCTCCTCAGGCCTGACTATGGAGGAAGTCTCAGGTGGGAACCTCGCCTGTGAGTGACTTGCGAGAAAGTCTCAGGCGGGAGCCCTTGCCTATGGTTCCCGCGTGTCACGTTTTTGATCCGAGCGGGTCATCGGGTTCTTGTAACAATCGTCACTTTTGGGCTTTGGCGGCTTGAATATGGAGGGAGTCTCAGGCGGGAACCTCGTCTGTGAGTGATTTGCGCGGAAGTCTACTGCGGGAACCCCCTGCCGATGGGTCCCGCATGTCATGTTTTTAATCCGAGCGGGTCATCGGGATCCTGTAATCGTCGTCACATTCGGGTTCCTCAGGCTTGAATCTCGAGGAAGTCTCAGGCGGGAACCCTGTCTGTGAGTGAATTTCAAGGAATTTGAAAGCGGAAACCACTTTGCCTATGAGTTCCGCGCCCCATGTTTTATGTACACAAAAAACCGATTGGGTCATGGGGTCCTGTAGCTGTCGTCACTTTTGAACTTCTGCGGCTTGAATATGAAGGAGGTGTCAAGCGGAAACTTCGTCTGTGAGTGGATTCGAGGAAGTTTCAGGCGGGAGCCCCCTGCCTGCGGGTCCCGCATCTTATGTTTTCATCCGAGCGGGACATCGGATTATTGTGACTGTCGCCACTTTTGAGCTCCTCAGGCCTGAATATGGAGGAGATATCAGGCAGGAGCTTCGTCTAAGAGTGGGCGCGAGGAAGCTTCAAACGAGAGCCCCTTCCCTATGGGGTCCGCACCTCATGTTGGTAATCCGAGCAGGTCATCGAAACCTTGTAGTTGTCGTCATTGTTTGGCTCGTCTGGGTTGACTATGGAGGAAGTCTCACGCGGGGGGTTCGTTTGTGAGTGCAAAGCGAAGAAGTCTCAGGCAGGAGCCGCCCCCGGGGTCCGCGTTTCATGTAGGAAATCCGAGCGGGTCATCGACGAACTCTACCAGGCATCGCATTTGAGCACTTCAATGGGGCACATCAAGAGGCGTCCCTCACGCGTGATTGAGTTGCAAGGAAGTCTCAGGCGGGAGCCGCCTCCCTAGTCACAAGACTCGCTCGAAGAGTTCGACAACAAAGCGGTGCACTCTGGGGCTGAGGCGGAGCAGCTCGCGGCAGAGCTGAATTTCGTGTTGCCTCCCTCCTGAGCGCGGCCGCGACTACCTCGATGTCTGCGGGGTCGTTCCAACGGCCTGCTGTCGCGCCCCAGCGGCCGTTGCCCCGAGGGCTTCGCGATTCTGCCATCGGAGAGCGCGCCCCTGCCGGGCGCGGCGGCGAGGGCGCCGAGGAAAATCGGCACGCGCCACCCTGCCAGGAGGAAGGGTAGGTGCATGAGGAGAACAGGCGGGATGGAAATGAGGGGGGGTGGGGGGAAAGGAGGATGAGGTGGTGGAGGAGGAAGAGGCGGAAGAGGAGGAGGAGGAGGAGGAGGAAAAGGACGAAGAGGAAAAGGAGAAATTGAACCAGGAGGGCGAGCAGGAGGAGGTGACGGAGGACGAAGAAGACGAGGAACATGAGGAAGAGGCGCAACAGAGGGCAAGACGGGGGGCTTCAGCCAGGGCGAAGTGGAAAGAACGAAGGGCAATCCAAATATGTTGTCATGCGGGGTCCTACCGTCGGAGTAGTTGTTATGTTATTTTCTTCCTCTCGTCCTATGTACAAGCAGCCCACTCAGAGCCACCGGAAACCTCCCAAGCCTTCGGACCCCCTCCTCCTCCCCCTCCTTCCCCCATCCTCTTCCCCTCCCCTCGCTTTCCTCGACCCCCCTCTTCTGCCTCGTCATCCTTCTCTTGCCCTAGTCTTTCAACTCCCCGGGCCCATCCTTCGCCCAAGGTCGAAAACAACACTGGCACCTTTTTCCCAATCTCTTCCACCACCCATCCTCATACATAAATCCTTCCATCCTTCCATCCGTGCGTCCATCCATCCACGAATCGTCACCTTCGTCCACACACTACGCACCCAAGACGGAGTCGAGAGGGAAAAGCAGAGAGAGGGTGAGAGGACCGGGGACAAGGAGGTCGAGCGACAGACGGGCCAGGAACACGATCAGAGGGAGAAAGAGGAACAAGGGGAGGAAGGCAACGAATAGGGAGCGTGGGGATGGGGGCGAGGGGGGAGGCAGGGATGAGGTGAGGAGGAGGGGGAGGTAGGAATGTGGGAGGGCATGAGGTCGGGAGGAGAAGGATGGCCGACAGCAGGACAATGGTGTGGACGAGAAGGGGGACTACAGTGGACTACACCAACGATGCTACATTTCACCCTCCCGTCCCTGGTCCTTTCTATGGGAGACGAGCGCCCCATGTGTTCGCCAGTTCTTGCGAGAACTCCCTTTGAAAAGGAGCCGGGGAGGGGGCTGGCTCGCGGGGGCGGGCGGCGGGGGGAGGGCCGTGTGTGTGTGTGTGTGTGTGGGGGGCAAACATCGACCTGAGCGACGACAAGGAACAGGTCTTGCGCGACAGCACATGACGGCCTCGCACGCCGCGGCCCACGCGGGCCGCCGGAGTAGCGCACCGCAAGGGCCTCACTTTGAGAGCGGGTCGCCCTCCATCCGTGTAGTTTCTGGAGGTTTCGAGCCTCGGGGTCGTCAGCGGTGGGGAGGTCCCCGGCGAAAAACGCTGAGCCCGCCCTGCCGAAACGCTGGGCGGCGCGACCAGGGCCATTTTCTTGCAAGGAGGATGGGGTGGAGGAGGGAGAGGTGCAATACGAGGAGGAGGAGGAGGAGGAGGAGGAGGAGGAGGAGGAGGAGGAGAAAAGACGAGACGAGGACGAGGACGGGACGAGGAGGAGGAGGCGAAAGATGAGAGGATGAGGATGAGGAGGAGAGGAGGAGGAGGATGAGGAGGAGGAGGAGGAGTAGGAGGAGGAGTAGGAGGAGGAGAGGAGGAGGAGGAGGAGGAGGAGAGGAGGAGGGGAGGAGGGAGGAGGAGGGGGAGGGGGAGAAGGGGAGGAGGGGGAGGAGGATGATATGGATGATGAGGAGGGGCGAGGAGGAGGAGGAGGAGGAGGGAGGCGAGGAGGAGGAGGAGGAGGAGAGAAGGAGAGGAGAGAAGGAGGAGGAGGAGGAGGAGTAGGAGGAGGAGGAGGACAGGAGGAGGACAGGAGGAGGAGGAGGAGGAGGAGGGGGGAGGGGGCAGGAGAGGAGGAGGGCAGAGGTGAGGACAGGAGGAGGAGGAGGAGGAGAGAGGAGAGGAGGAGGAGGAGAGGAGAGAGGAGGAGGAGGAGGATGGGGAGGAGGGGGAGGACAGGAGGAGGACAGGAGGAGGAGAAGGAAGAGCAGAGGAGGCTAGAGCAGGAGGATGGAAGGAGGAGGCAGAGGAGGAGGATGGATGAGGAGGAGGAGGAGGAGGAGAGGAGGAGGGAGGAGGAGGAGGAGGAGGAGAGGAGGATAAGGGTACAAGAGCACGAAGGCGGAAGGAGAAGGAGGTGGAGGACCAGGAAAATGGGAGGAGGTGGAGGGCGAGGCTAGGGTGTT